TTCATAACAGTAGCAAAATTACAGTTATGAAGTAGCAACGAAAATAATTTCATGGTTGGGGGTCACCACCACATGAGGAACTGTATTAAAGGGTCGCGGCATTAGGAAGGCTGAGAACCACTGTCCTAGAGGCTAAGGCATGAGAAGCTAAAAGGGAAATGTTGGTCCAATCACCCAACTCTTCTAATACACGTGCTAAGAAAGTGCATGAGGTAGTTTTGGTATGCAGTAGTGTTTTGTTTGTTGCGGTTTTTCTAATCCTCACTTGAGAACATGCTGAGAGAGAGAGAGAGAGACTCCCAGACTGGGAATCAGACCCAAAATCCAGATGTGTACACTAACCAGGAATCAAACCAGCAACTTTTCGGTGCTGTTATGCATTCATTTTGTTACGTAACAAAGTACCCTGAGAGTTAATGGCTTAAAACAGGTAGTCCCTGAGCTCCTGATGTGGGTCGGTTCTGTTGTTCCCACGTGAGGTGCGCTTCTGCCGTGCAGCCGGCGGAAGGCGGCCTCACTCACAGGCCCGGCTGGAAACTGGGCCACGTGTCTACAGTGAGCTCCTCTGCGAGGTGCTTTTCAAACCTCTGCTGCATCACATGTTCTGATGTCCCACTGGCCAGAGCAAGGCACGCGGCCAAGTTCAGACCCAATACACTGTACGTCCTGCCAGGAGAGGCAAAGTCACGTGTGAGGAAGCCAGCAAACCGATGGGAGGACGCTGTGGCCACTCGGATGAGCCACCGCACCCACCAGGTGTGTCTGATGGGCCTCAGCGGAGCTACCTGAGATTATGAGCTGATTCGTGGGAGACGGGTCTGATTCATATTGCTATCACCACAGGGCCCTCACCCACTTGCTGCTTTCTTATTGAGGCCTAATTGACAAGTAACACTGTAGGTATTTAAGGTGTGCGATGTGATAATTTCACATACATATACCTTGTGAAGTGCTTGGTCACCACAATCAAGTTCATGAGCGCACCCATCGCGTCACATCATGACCTTTGCTGTGTGTGAGAACACAAGACGTACTCTCTGAGCAAATTTCAAGGGCTAGTTGGCTCTTATTAATTGTCTTTATTGAGTGGAGTTGAATTGAATTGAGTTGGTTCTCCTTTCTAATTATAAGCTCCTTGGAGGCAAGTTTGGAATTGCTCTATCACATACAATCTCCTTCCCACTCGTGGGCTGAAACCCTACCGGCTCTCAGCTAAGGGGGAGGAGGATGAGGTCTGGCGCCAGCTCTGTGTAGGGCACGATCTGGGGAAAGTGTGGGGCTTGCAGGAGACCACAAGCCCTGGCACCGAAGCATCTTCAGGCTGACCTTACCCGCCTGCGGGAAATCACTGCTTTAGGCTCAGGAGGCAGGAAGGCTCAGAAACCTGCAGAATGCGACTTTCCGTCCCCACCCAGGGAAGCCAGCACACAAGGGCAAACCCAGGCCAGATCCAGATCCAGAGGAACCTTGTCTGCCAGACCCAGGCCTCTGGGGCTTCTGCTCTGTGATAGCCCGGACATGCCACATCCTGTCCACCTCATCTTGGCCCTCGTCCAAAATTCATCAGGGCAAACAGTCTGCTGCTGTAGAACCAGGGCTGGGAGGGTGGCTGAGACCAAATGTAGGGGGCAGCCCTTTCTTGGAGCTGCTTGCACAGCCCCCCTCACTCCTTGGTGCAGCGCTACTGGAGATCCTGGTTCTAGATGGACTCCAGAGCTTCCTAAGGCTGAGGCGGGACAGCTGATTCCCGATGGGACCCCTCTTTGGGAATAGGAAGATGTCCTTCCCATGGCGTAAGCTGAGTCGTCAGGGACTTCACTGGTCATAGGCTGAGGGATGAGCTTTCTTTATATGACGCAGTCATATTCCCTACTTTATTCACTAGAACCCTACTCACTGCCCACTGTGGGCCGGGCACAGGCTCGGGCATTGGAGGGAGGTGAGACGAGTCAGGCGTGGGTCTTGGCTCCATAGAGTGCACGTACCCCGAGAACATTCATGGGGAGGCACCAAGCCAGACGGGCTGCCTAAGATACAGAATTGTGGCCTGGCCCGTGCGGCTCAGTTGGTGGGAGTGTCATCCTGTATACCAAAAGGTTGCCGGTTTGATTCCCGGTCAGGACACATACCTAGGTTTTGGGTTCAATCTCCAATAGGGTGTGTACCTCACATCAATGTTTCTCTCTCTCTTTCTCTCTGTCTCCCCCCCCCCCTCCTCCCCTCTTTCTAAAATCAATAAGCATATCCTCAGGTGAGGATTAAAAAAAAAAAATAGGCCCCTTAGAGCAGAAGACACCTCCTCAGATCCATCCCCCATTCCTTAGAGGAGGAAACGGAGCCCAAGAGAGGGAGTGTAGACATCTGGAGACACACAGTGAGTGGTAGTTATTCATTCACTGGACAAGCATTCATTGAACACCTCCTGTGTATTAAGATCTGGGCTGGGCGCTGGCGATACCACAGGGGAACAAGGAAGACACAGTCCCTGTCCTTTTGCAAGTTCAGCTGTGACTGGTGAGTCCCCATCCAGGTCACACTTCAGAACCAGCTGGGGAGCTTTAAGAAAAACCCCAAGGCCAGGGCCTGATGCCGAGATCCAGACTTGCCTGGTCTGGGCAGCCCAGGCATGGGTATTTTAAACACGTTCTCCAAGTGATTCTCCAGTGCAGCCAGGTCGAGAGCCCTGCTCTCGGGGGAGAGACAGATGTAAAACGAGTAAACAGGAGTACAGTCACAGCTGAGATTTGTGATTCATAAGGAAGGAGTAGGATGCGGAGTGAGGACACAGCAGGGCGGGGTGTCTGTCATCTGATCTGCTTAGAGAGCTGGGCTTCCAAGGGTCCAGTGGGAATAGGCACAGGGTGGTCTCCTATGGGACAGCAATAGAATCTTCTGGCACATCCTGACCACCCTGCAGACCCACAAATCCCTGCACGGGAGCCCCACCGAGCAGAGGCTCTTAATCTGCAACACACACTGGCTATCTGCCATTCACACCCCCAACCCCACCCGAAACACCTCTCCACACGCTGTTTGTGGATTGTCCCCAGGGCAGCGGCTTAATGATCCCTCTCATTTTCAGCGTCGTTGGGAAAGCACATTCCCTCTTGTAATCTGGGATATTGGGTCCTACTGCTAATCCCATGAGTGAGCAGGGTCAAGGTCAATAGTCCCGTGATGGAGATGTGGAAACAGGCTCAGAGGAGCCCCATGCCCCACCCAAGGTCACACGGCTGATCTGGAAGTGTGAGCCCTCAGTCCAGCTCACCAGCCCAGTCTAACCCCACTCTGCACGTTGCCCCGCCCACATTGCATCAGGAAACCGAAACCGAAGCAGGCGCCCGAGGGGCCGTGGCCACACCACCCTGATCCAGAACCTTCCGGTCAGGTCGGGCAGTGATGACACACCCTCCCTTTAACTTGATGGCTTACAATCTCGTTCCCCATCAGGGACTCCAAGGCATTGGTGACTCCTTGCTTGGTTCCTGCCCAGAGTGAACCCAGTTCCCATAGTAACCTGATGCAATTCTTTATAAGAGAGAGGGTCGGTGGTTTTCATTTTGTGTTTGAAGGGTTTGTCCAGCAGTTACACGGCCCTGGCTTGGCCTGTTGGCGGCAGTGAGGAGCAGCGGGAGCCCTCGGAGCAGCCATGAGGTCCTTTCTGTTTGCACAGATGGTGGGCGCCTGTGTCTGGGAACACCCACCTGCCATCCGCTGGGGCAGGAGGTGGGGAAGCTAGGCCTCGTGCTGTGTTGGGTGCCCTCTCCTGTTTCTAGATCGCACCTTCCTAGTTAGAGCCACCTGAGCCACGGGGACCCCTCGCCAGTTGCTCCCATAGTTCCCCTCCGTGACTCTCACGCTCAGAACCTGAGTCCCACCCCGGGGACCTCCTGGAGAGCCAAGTCCGGGCCCTTCCTCGTATGTGAACCCAGCGCAGGTCCGGGCCGTGCACAGGGCCGGTGCTCAGTACATGCTTGTTCCGCGTCATGACGGTTAGGGCTGGGAGGAAGTTTGGACATCCCCGAGTCCAGCCCTTACTTTATAGGAAGGTGGAGACCCACCCACGAGCAAAGCTACAAATGACAATAGCTCAGACTCACAGAGCGCGTGCCGGGCGCCGGGCCGGAGTCTACGCACTCTGTACATACGAGCCCATTGCAGCTCCCAGCGGCCACCGTGCAGCCACAGGTCTTGTCACCGTCCCCTGATCGGCACCCCAAGGCAGCGAGAGGCTCGGAGAGGTACCCGAGATCGCAGAGCTAGTGAGTGTTCCGACCAGGACCCAGACCCAGGCAGTTCCTCTCCCGGACCCCGCCGTTAGCACCTGCTGCTCTGTGCGGGGGTAACGCACAGCCCGCAAGCACCATGGGTCCCTCTCCAACGGGCAGGGGAGTGGGGGCAGCTGCGTCCGCTCACTCATGGCGGAAACGTAACTGTTCATCTCCAAGTTCCCCTCCAGGGCTTAGCTCAGGGCTTGGCAGGAGCTTAGGGGCCGGTTTTATTCATTTGTTTATTTTAAAAATATTTTTTCAATTGCTTTTAGAGAAAGAGGAAGGGAGAAGGAGAGAGAGAGAAAAACATTGGTGTGAGAGAGGAACATGGATGGGCTGCCTCCTGTACGCCCCCTACTGGGGAGGGAGCCCTCAACCCCCACATGTGCCCTGACGGGGAACCAAACCTCTGGGTGCAGGGATTCATCCCCAACCACTGAGCCACGCGCTGGGCAGGGACCTGGTTTTAGTCCAAATGACCTCTTCTTCCTTCTCCTCATGAAGTAGCCAGTTTGGGGGCACCTCCTAGCAGGACGGGACCTTGGGAAGCAATTTACAGAAATGGAGGCATTTCTCAGCCAGGTCTCCCCACGCCCCGTCCAGGGCGCTCACCGCACAAGCGAGGGCTCCGGAACGGGCCCCGAGGTGGGCCAGCTGCCCGTCCGTCCTCCCTCGCGCCCCGTGGGCTCTGCGTCTTGGCCACAACTAACGGGCTCTCCGCTCCCGCAGCTCTTCGTGATCGACAACGGTGCGGATGACTGGCGGATAGCCATGACCTACGAGCGCATCCTCTACATCAGTCTGGAGATGCTGGTGTGCGCCATCCACCCCATCCCCGGCGAGTACAAGTTCTTCTGGACGGCTCGCCTGGCCTTCTCCTACACGCCCTCGCGGGCGGAGGCCGACGTGGACATCATCCTGTCCATCCCCATGTTCCTGCGCCTGTACCTGATCGCGCGCGTCATGCTGCTGCACAGCAAGCTCTTCACCGACGCCTCGTCCCGCAGCATCGGGGCGCTCAACAAGATCAACTTCAACACGCGCTTCGTCATGAAGACGCTCATGACCATCTGCCCGGGCACCGTGCTGCTGGTGTTCAGCATCTCTCTGTGGATCATCGCGGCCTGGACCGTCCGCGTCTGTGAAAGGTATTCCGGCGGGTCGCGCTCTCCATTCAGCCCCTGGCTCCCGAGCACAGAGCCCTCCTGGGGTAGGAGAGGGAGGAGGAGTGGGGGCGGGGGGGGGGGATGTGTATGCCTGAGGGAGGACTGAGGGAGGAGGTGGTCACCTGCCCACACACCTCCAAGGAGAAAATGGGGAGGGCCCAGCCAGGCCGAATGCGAACTGCAACGTGGAAATACTGCCGCCGAGGTAAGCTGGGGGAGATGCATGTGTAAAATAACGCGTTCTCCGTTCCCGCTTTGTAAACCAAATGTATCCACGCGCCCCGGTGACACCCACCGTTAGCCATTCTCGGTATAACGCTGCAACTTTTGAATCCTCTCTTCCTGTTGGAGATGACCTATGCTCACATGTTGAAGGCTTGAGAAGTCCTGTAGCAATGAAACGGGTTCGATTTTGTTGAGCCCCGATTTTCTCAAAAGTATTTGCCCAGGAACCCTTTTCAACGGGTAACACTGTTGACGCTTCACTACAGAAAAGGTGGGGCCACAGACCAGCAGCGGTCGCGGCGGCGGCGGCCCTGGGAACTTGTTAGGATGCAGAATCTCAGGCCTGAGCTCAGAACCACTGAGTGGAATTTGCATTTTAACAAGTTCCCCGGGTGATCTGTATGCACCTTACCATGTGAGAAGCCCTGTACTGGCATTGTTCTAAGGAGGTTGGTGGTTGGGTAGTGACTCAGGGAAGCAGCTGGTGGGAGAGAAGGGGCCCCTGGCGACACCTCCCCATTCCAGGCTGACCCTGGACATTCATTTTCACCTGATCTCGCATGTGGCGTCTGAACACCTAGGTTAGAAACCTGTTTCTACGTAGTTGCAAGACCCTTGGAACGTCACTTAGCATCTCTGGCTTTAATGTTCTTATTTTAAAATGAGGATCTTGAGATAAAAGGGAGATGTGCTCACTCCAGAGGTTAGTTTTGCTATGTGGGGAGGCTTGCTCAAACCTCCGGAGTGATTTGCACGGATCCTGGTAGTCACCCTTAATTCGTCAGCACACACAATTGTCCTGATTCTCTTACAAAGACCAAGCGAGTTCTTTTAGAACCCAGCTTCCATGCCCACTGTCCTCTCCCAGTGTCAGATAATAAGCAAGATGGGCAGGAGCCTCGAGACAGGAGCTCACCCACCCGAGACTGGACAGAGACGGGATGAGGGGCTGCTTTGGGGGGCCAGCGCATTGGACGGGGTGGGAGGGTCATGTGGGCAGCATGACCTTGATCCGTCAGCCTGATCTGATTAAGATTCTGTCACCTTAGAGAAGGTCAGTGACTTGCCCAAGGTCACATCGCAGCATGACAGGTTCTAGGCCAGGGATGGCGAACCTTTTGAGCTCGGCGTGTCAGCATTTTGAAAAACCCTAACTTAACTCTGGTGCCGTGTCATGTATAGAAATCTTTTGATATTTGCAACCATAGTAAAACAAAGACTTATATTTTTGATATTTATTTTATATGTTTAAGTGCCATTTAACAAAGAAAAATCAACCCAAAAAATGAGTTCGCGTGTCACCTCTGACACGCGTGTCATAGGTTCGCCATCGCTGTGCTAGGACAACGCCCGCCTGCCCCTGGACGGAGCAGGGCCGGTTCCCATTCCCCGGGGCATCCCTCAGCCTGCCGCCTGGTTGTATACACGCTCTTCTGAAGTTGCTATGGAGACCCCGCTTCAGCGAGACGCCTTTTGAAAGACATTTCTCATGTCTGGGGCCGGCTCTGATGTGACGATAGAGGTTTTTCGCATTTCCTCCTTCCAGGAAGGGAGGGGACTTAGTAATCACCCAGAACAGGCCGCCCATGGTGGGAGGGCAGCAGCCAGCTGCTGGGAAGGCACCGACAGCAGCAGGCTTGTTTTGCTTGGACCCCAGTGAGGCATTACATCATGGCTTCTGAGGCCTGGCCGTCGTGGCCCTCTGGGATTCTCCTGGCCGCCTGCCCGCCCCCCCCCCCCCCCCCCCGGCCGCCCAGAGCCCATCTGAGGAACCTCCTCATTAAACACTGTCACACGCCCAGCAGCCTGGCTGGTGGAGGGACCTTCCACAGCCCCGGTCCCCGGGCGGCAGGTGGGGGCAGCGACCTTCCAGGCGCGCCCCGGGGAGAGGCCTGCCAGCTCCCAGGTGTGTGTTTATCTCCCGGAGGCGCAGCAGGGCCTCCCAGATGCTGATGAAGTGGGCTGAGCCCGGTTTTGTAAATGGCCTGCCAGCCTCTTGAACGGCCCCCTGTGGACTGCTCCCCGCTGAGGCTTGAAGTTGTACACATGGGCTGTCTCCGGATCTCTGGCCTGTCACCAGGTCTCTGGTGATGAGGTTATGAATTTTCATCTATTTCTGGATATTTGCATTATAACAAGAAGTGTGAGTCTGGAGACCTGGCCCCTAGAACGGGAGAAGAACAATCAGTGGCCCATTCTTTCTCTCATTAAAATAGAGCCACCCTCCTCATAAGGAAGATGGAAAGAGGTTTCCTTCCACTCTCCTCTGCCTCCATCTCAGACACTCAGCTCTGCACCAACCAGAAGGCAGAGAGCAATAGCCTCCCCCCTCCCACAACCACCTCCCTTCACCCCCCTCCCCAACCCCCTCCCCCCTCCGCCCCGCCAGCAGGGCCTTCAGCTCCCAGGAAGCGGTAGGGAGACCATCTACAGGATGAAGCACACAGCATGGGGGGGGGGGGAATGTGAGCCCCCAAGTAGGGCTTGTGAGAGGAGTCCCGAGAACCAGGGTGAGGACTGTAGTTTCTCATGGCCTCTTGTATTTGAGGCACGACCTCCAATGTGGACCACAGGCGGGGAACCCAGAAGGGGGAGAAATGATCAGAACTTCTAGTTATAGTTATTTTTATCTAAAAAATTAGCACTGCTAACATTTTAATATGCAGTCATACGTGGGTGTCATTGAGGATGAACATACATGTAGCAAGAGGAGAGTGCATGCTCCAAAAATGTGCCCAGCAGGAACCTATGAGTTTAAAGGTCGTAAACTACTGGTTTGGAGGGTCAGAGGCCTCGCTCATGAGGACTGTATCCTGCCACATAGATGAAGCCTGCTAGACCCAGAGCCCCTGCCTCTAGTTAGAGGAAGAAGTCCGCACCCTGTAGGGCACAGGAGCTGCCTCAGGCAATCCTGGGGCAGGTGCCAGCCCTGGACAGATCACTGTAATTCAAAGACGAATTTCACCGCAGGAGGTGGGAGGAAAGTGAGGAAGGGAGAGAGGACATGAGGGGAGGGGACCCTAAGGAGGCCTTTGAAACAGACCTGCAGCGTTAGCAAAGAGGAAATAACCCTGGAGATGCAGGAGAGTGTGTAATGATGAGGAACAAAAAGCAACCTCAGGAGGTTGGTGGGCATCCCTCACAGGGCAAGCAGATTGGGCTCTGTGATGGAGAGGGTGGGGAGATGGGAAAGGCGAACGTGTCTGTCTCACACAAGCACAGGGTTCCAGAAAACTAAAATTGTTTTAGCAAAAGGAAAACCCACATCGGGGGCACTGAATTGTTAAGAATGTGGAGGACCAACTCAAAAGTTCCCTCTGAATGTAGGAGACAAGAACAAAGACATGAGAGAAGAGGGTGAATGGCACCGAACGGAAGGCTGTAGAATTAAGACCAAATCCAAGAGTTAGAGTTAGTTCTGGAGGAAGAAACCAGAATAATTTGGATAAAAGCATAATCCAGAACATGCATGAAGAAAGCTTTTCCAGAAGTGGCCAGCGGAGAGGTAGCGGGGAGGTTAAGATCAGGCTGATCAGAAAGGCTTTCCATTTTCCAGTTAGAATGGGGTGGGCTGGGGGGAGGGGGGGAGTGGCGCTGGAAAATTTACTGAATCATAAGGTTAAGCGATCTAGAAGCACGCAGGCAACACAATGCAGACTTTTCCTCAGGAACCCTAAGTCCCAGGAGACATGGGGGTTGCAAACCCTCTAATTAAAAAGTTGAGAGAGAAGGTTAGAAAGGATTAGTAGAAGCATGCTAAAGTCATCACCTTAGGCAGAAGAGAATTTAAATAGCCTTATCCCTAGATTGTACTAATTAGAGCAGTATAATTTAAATCACTTTTAAACCTAAAGGTAACCACAGATAGAATTTTTAAAGTGCAACAATATTGATAACAATAGCACCAGCCAGGTATTATTTCACTTAATCCATACCCAGCTCTGTGAGGTACGGGGGTTAGTATGATCTCCATTCCACATGTGGCGAAACAGGCACAGAGAGGTTAAGCAACCTGCTTTGAATTCATTAAAAGAACGAAACAAACTTTAGGAGAACAGATTAAGTTTATAACACAAAGACAGGAATGAATGGATTTAAAAACAGAAAAACAGAATTTATAAACCTAAACCACACTGATGTCTAATAAATCTAATCAAGGAAAAAAGGGAACACAAGCAGTATTAGAAATTTTAAGGGGGAATAGCACTTTTTTTCTTAAAATGTGTTTTTATTGATTTTAGAGAAAGAGGAAGGGAGAGATGGAAACTGATAGGCTGCCTCCTGCATGTCCCCCACTGGGGACAGAGTCCGAAACCCAGGCATGTGCTCTGACTGGGCATCAAGCTGGTGACCTCTCAGTGCATGGGACGATGCTCAACCAACTGAGCCACACCAGCCAGGGCGCTTAGAGAAGAACGCCGAGGGGAACTTTCTCCACTTGACATTAACATGTGTTATAAAACTCAAGTAATGAAGTCCCTGTGGCACTACTGGAAAATCAGTAAGGGCAGATCAATGAAACCTAATGGAAAACTCTGAAATAAACCCTAGTATGTAAGAACCCAACATATGAGAAAGAAAACCAATTAGGAAGCAATAGATTATTCAATAAATGTTAATGGGGAGGTAGGATATCTGGATTAAAAGTCAAATTAGAACCCCATCTCTCACCAGCCACCGAAATAAATTCCCGTTGGAGTCAGATATAAAAGCAGAACTATGAGCAAGCTCTAGAAAACAAAGTGAATATTTAATCA